ATTTTTCGTGAGGGAACTTAAATTCCTCTCTTGTTTTGTCAGCGGAGACATAGGCAAAACGCTGAAACATCTCTACATTGTATGACCCTCCAAAATTATTTGTTTGACAATGGCATAAAATTTTAGTGTTGGTGTCAACAGTCCATGTATGGCTGTGGCCAAGGAGAGCATTCTCCCATTTTTTTTCAATGTTACCTTCTCTAACATACTTCATCTAATTTGTTACTAGACTACACATAGTTTTATTGTGATCCAAATGTGCTGCTTGATGTGGTAATATCTGAGCTGTGATGAGTTAGATTAATTAATTTCTTGGCAATTAAAGAAAGTTTATACAGTTTGGAGAGCTTCGACTTTCACTCGCACCTACCGACTCGACAGAAATGTGCCACAAAGTGACCCACAGAGTCCTGTCTGAGGCGAGCTGATGCGACCGCGATGCACCGACATTCAAACCTCGTCCTCCGATTGGCTCATGCCGCCAGCCGCCGCGCCGGAAAACCGGAAGTGCCCAGCCGTCAACAGTGTCCGTGATCAGCGTCAACCAGTCAAGTCGAACGTGCACGTACAATATTCATTCGCCTGTGAAAATGGCTCGCGTTGAAATTTTGCCCGCTTCTTGACGATGTGGAGCTAAGCGGGCTCCGATTTCCAGTAATCCGCGATTGTGCGTCCACCTTACGTTTCGTGCCATCGAACTAAATGAGGTTAGGGGGGTTAGGGCACGGCGGCGGCGTCCGCTCAGCCGGGCGGTCGGACCCGGGATCAGAACCAAAAGCACCGGTCTGCAGGCTGCAGGCGCATCCACATCAACGTCGTGATCATGCCTTCCGCTTTGGAGTCGTTGATCCACCCGAATCGCCGGGCCGCTGGCGACGCTGGCACGGCGTCCGCATCCAAAGCACCAGCAGCATCCCCCAGGACTCCTGACTTCGCCAGCTTGCTGCCCCGGACGCGCGGTGAGTAGCAAACTGGCGTCCTTTGCACTTGTTTCCAGATCCTAAGAGGGTCACTTAGGTTCCTGAGGGCGCACTGCGCAGGTGCCCAGAGTCCAAATCTCGGTCCCTGTGCAGATTCGGAGACCGTAGACGCTGTTTGAGGTCCGGCGTGAGGAGGAGAAAGGGGACGGGGTATCTGCGAGAGGGGGGGAGAGAGAGGGGGGGGGGGGGGGGGTCGCGCCCCAATCAAAGCCGGCCTCACGGGGTGCTTACTGGTGAGGGGTGATGTCCCTTTCGGCTCGGACCGCCGCGATGACGCCCACAGCACCTTGCTGCAGGCTCGTTCGCCACCCGCAGATACACCAGGTCCGGGTGGAGGTTGGAGGTGGAGGCGGCACGAGGACGGCGACAAGCACAGTCCGTTTGCACGGCCGTACAGTGTGTTTGCTGAATACTCGGCCCGGCAAGCAGAAGGGGTGAAGGGAAGGCAAACCGACTCATGGGAGGGGGTGGGTGGTAGTGGCTGCCGGTGCGCGACTGCTATGCCACCACAAACGCCTCTGAATACTGGGAAGGTGCTAGGTACAGTAACCCAGCCCCGGTTCCGGGAGGCAGAGGTAATGTCTCAGTGGA